GGGTTCTTTAAAAGAAGATTTTTTAAGTTTTTACTATATGCATATAGGGAAAATCAATGACCCCCTGGGGCGGGGCCAATTTTGACCCCAGGGCTTTTATTTGAACAAACTTGGTAGACATTCACTAGAAGATGTTTCATTCCAAATATCTAAGCTCTAACTTTTACAGTTCTTTAAAAGAAGATTTTTTAAGTTTTTACTATATGCATATAGGGAAAATCAATGACCCCCCGGGCTGGGGCCAATTTTGACCCCAGGGCTTTTATTTGAACAAACTTGGTAGACACTCACTAGAAGATGTTTCATGCCAAATATCTTAGCTCTAGCTCTTTGGGTTCTTTAAAAGAAGATTTTTAAGTTTTTACTATATGCATATAGGGAAAATCAATGACCCCCTGGCGCGGGGCCAATTTTGACCCTAGGGCTTTTATTTGAACAAACTTGGTAGACACTCATTAGAAGATATTTCATGCCAAATATCTAAGCTCTAGCTCTTACGGTTCTTTAAAAGAAGATATTTAAAGATTTTTCTTTCGGTTGCCATGGCAACCAGAGTTCTGCATGAAATGGAAATCTTTGAACAATCTTGATAGAGCTTCATACAAAGAGTATTCCTGCCAAGTTTCATTAACATTGGCCTTGCGGTATCATAGAAGATGTCCTAATATTTAAAATGTGGACGGACGACGGACGACGGACGCCATTTGGTTGGCAATCCTAAAAGCTCACCTGCACTTTGTGCAAGGTGAGCTAAAAATGAAGTTTAAAAAAAAAATTGAAAAAAAAAAAATTGAAAAAAAAAACCCATCAAAATTACTATTTTGGGTTGAGTTTAAGAAAAAAAAATTGAAAAAAATTTTTTTTTCCTATAAACCATTACTACGAAAAGGTCACTTAGTCGCCGTAACGCTACGGAGCTTTACTAGGACACACTGTGGAACAACCACAATGTCGAGTTCTGTAACAATAAAAGCTATTTTGCTACTCTTTACACATTGTGCATTTAGAAAAGTGTTAACATTCTTATTGTACCTTACATAGAATCTTAAATAACTTACATTTAAACTCGGACACTCCAATTTGTTAAAATTTTGCAAAACAACAGTGATTGTCGGTCATTTTGTCGAAATCGAAAGTACAAAACATACACCGTACTGTTTCGCTCTCCTGGTTTCCTACGACTAAGTTTGCTGAACAATAGACAACAGTAACCAATAAATTGATGGTTACCGTTGTCTACTGTTCCTCGCACGTAGTCGTAGGAAACCAGTAGAGCGGAACAGTACGATGTATGTTTTGTACTTTCGTTTTTGACAAAATGGCCGACCATGAAAAGAATTTTGCAAGATTTTAACAAATTGGAGCGTCCGAGTTAAAATGTAAGTTATTTAAGATTGTATGTAAGGTAGATGAAGAATGTAACAACTTTTCTAAATGCATAATTTGTAAAGAGTAGCAAAATAGCTTGTATTGTTACAGAACTCGACATTGTGGTTGTTCCACAGTGTGTCCTAGTAAAGCTCCGTAGCGTTACGGCGACTAGGTGACCTTTTCGTAGTAATGGTATATAGGAAAAAAAAAATTTTTTTCTCAATCTTAACCCAAAATAGTTATTTTGATGTTTTTTTGTTTTTTTTTCAATTTTTTTTTTTTTTTTTTTATTTTTTTTTTTAACTTCATTTTTTTTATATGGGCACCAAGACTGGACAAGCACCTGTGAGTGAGATACGCAATCTTGAAATTCTACTGATATGAATAGCCAGTCGTCTGCTAGTTCTGAAAGTGTTTTTCGGTGTTTATTTCTAATTTTCAATAATTATTTTACTGTTAAAGTTGGAAAAAAACTTGAATGATGTGTTTGAAAATTATCAATGTTTCTTTAATATCTATCTCAAACTTTACAAACAATAAATTGTTTATACTGAAAATCTACAAAATTAAAATATTCGTAGTGGCATCAGCCATAATAAATAGAGATATTTTCTGCGTAAACTTGTGTGTTTACTTTATTTATTTTTTGCTCGGAATTATTCATAAAATGAAGGCCTATTTAATCATTTTCTTAAAAAGAAATAATTGTTTTATGCTCGACCTTCTCCGGTCTTCAACGGTCACCAGTGTCCAAAGACCTTCCATAGTGATCGTTTATTCAACTTTATCCCTGATACAAACGTTTATTAACCCCCCCCCCCCCCAAATAATGTTGAAAATAGTTAAAAGAGATATCTTTATATATATCATTAAAATGTTCACCGCAGGAAACCATTTTACTTGTATCTTTATCTAAATAGCAATCCAGATTAAAAACAGTAGATGTTTGTCTAGAATGCAATTAAAATCTAAAAACCTAAAATTAGTTTTTATTTGAAACATATTATACCTATCCTTCAAGACTGCTCTGTCATGAAGGAGGTAGGCAAGTCGCCAAGTTAATTGTCTTTAATTGTTTCATATACTGTTGTTTGTTTTATTGTCTGTGTATCGACCTCATATTTGTCACTGATGTTTTCCTATCTGCTATTACTAAATGAAGCAAGCATTTGATAGGAAATAAACGTGTGATAGAATAATATACTACAATTACTGATCTCAGGTGAGATTTTTTACTTATTTATATATAATAGTAATTTAATGAACATAAAAAACAGGTGATTTTAACATTGCTTTGAGATAGAAGAATTTTAGTATAGACGGGGCCACAATGATACGTAGGGAGGGCTCTTAATGACAAAGTTGTACAAGATATTGGTACAACGCGTAAGGATATCAAGGAACTGTTTCTCTGCACGTCAGAATTTAGACCAAAATTTGCAAACAATGTAATCGCTCAGAAGCATTTAACACAGCAAAATTACATGTAAATTACAGACTCGGTTTGATTGAGTCTGTACATGATGGATGATGAATAAGTGCAGCATCCCTTTCGCCCTCTTGCACCAAGTTTGCTTATTATTATTATTTTAGATAAGTAATTTTAAATACTTCAGAACTAACTTATATCATAAACGAAGTGGTTTAATTTTCTTATTTTATCTGTCACAAACTCAGAATGAGTAACAAGATATACAGATTTCCAAATACTATAACAGGAACACAGTATCTGTACATTGTTCTAAAAGACTTAGTATGCCCTTCAGCTTGAACCTGTTTGACGGCCTGTTTATGACACATCAAACGCGTGAAGTAAACGATAACAAAGCATATACAGTCAAATGATTAAACCAGGGAAAATACAAGATAATATTGACATCGCAAAAACATATTTTTACACTTCATTCATTCAAAATTATTTATGCGTGACATTCATATCTTAGGGTTTTATTACGTAATCTTAATAAAAGAACCAAAGTGTGATGGTACATCAAATATTTAAAATGAATTAAACGAGAATATATATCTGCAATACATATGTTAATACATTTAAATTCTCAATACCATGTGTGTTTATGTGATAGATGTTGCCCGGATGCTTTAAATTTCAACTTTTTTATTGCTTATTCATTGTTCTCAGGAGGTATTCGCTTTTCTAAATATTTTGCATCAGCTGTTAACTCTATGAAATACATATCAGTAAGTTATATGCCACACGTCATTTTAGTTCATAGTAACATCGTAACAATGTACTTCAAAGTACATGTGAATACATCACTAAAGTCCAAACATGTGTGGAACAAATGTTTACTGATTCAGCATTTTTTGGTTAATAATATACACATTTATAAATTATGATGTAGACTGCCACCGAACATGTAAAAATGAATATTCTATTATTTACTAAGAGGAAATTGTACTGAATTCAACTATTGTACTAACGATGAATTGTCAGCAAATTTTATTTCAGTTTTCCCGAGATATACGAAACAACTCCCAAATGGATGTATCATGAAACCAAAGTCATTCAGAGTTTCTTGATCCGAAAGTAGAAAATTATTTTTGAATAATTGATTACGAAATGTAATATGTGATAAAAAATTGACCTTGATGAATGAATATGTAATTAGGACAGACGTCCTGACAAGGTTTCTCATTTTGTGCCATTTGTTATTTTTTCAAGCACGAAAGCTCATGATTGTCATATTCATTAGAATTCGTTTTGACGATGTAGTGTTTGAATCGGTATGACCTAAATGTTTTAAATGACGTTTGAACAACTAAACTTGAAAAAACTCTACATGTTGAAGAACATCAAACCGCCTTCTTATCTATCTATCTATGTATGAAATATGTACTTTTACATAATACATTATAATTTACATTATAATATAAAAAATATTATACGAAACTTAGATTCATTAATTAAATTACTAAAAAAATTGAATAATCGAAAAACGACTGACGTGTTGCTGATTCGATGTTTACACATTTTCATGGACACCGGCGTTAAATGAGATTTGCAGTGCTGTAAATAAAAACAATTGTCTAAACAAATGAAATAGAACATAGAATTGAGAATAATTTTGAATGGAAGTCAAATGCAATTTTGTTGTCCTCTATGTTGTTTTATTATTATTATTATTATTATTATTATTATTATTATTATTATTATTATTATTATTATTATTATTATTTTGTGTTTATGACAATACCTAAGCATCACAATGACATAGTTCTTTTACAAACTGAGTATTATTGTAAATAAATTAAAACTGAAATCAAATGTTATAAAACTTGTTTGTCTATCTGTTTTTATGCAATTCAGTGTAACATTCCATATACAGGTGAATAAATAAATAATAACATTAATTTATAACATCTTGTACTGAATCAATTGTGTTTATAGTTCCCTTACTCGATGGTTTAATTGATACATTTGAAGTATTATATTATTATGTATTATGCTGATACCTTATTTATCATGCCTAAGTATGTGTTATCTCTATAAAACTCACTATAAACGTAAACGTATCACAGTTTTATAGCAACTCGAATATTTCGAACACTTGTAGTATAATTTTAAATGCCAAGTGCACTAATTAGATAAGAAAAAAAATAATATTAGAACTACTTTGGTTAATGTCGTAATATAACTAGAGTTTTGATAATATTTGATAATATTGTACTTTTTTATAAATATTAAGGATTGCTTAGTTCAACATTAATAAGGATTATGAGAAATCACGGACCAATTTGTAACTGGCAAGTTGTAGCGAAGTTTATTGTAGTTTTCTTTACACTAACCTCTCAATTGATATACGTTGAAAGTGTGGGGTGTGAGCAAGAAGGTGTGTGCGCATGTGTTTTTGAAAATGGAAGCAGAATTGACCTGTCTGAACTTGGCAGTAATACAGGAGTACCTTTGTAAGTTGCAATTTATTCACTTGATAAAATAGAGAGTAAAATAAATGAAAGAGATAATATTTAAAGTCACAATTAAGCTAATATTTTTCAAAACGTTTTTTCTTTGTTTTGTTTTGTTTTAAGTATAATAATTTATTTATTTATTCATTCATTTATTTGGTCATAAGCTAATTACATAAAGTTTAAGAAATATAACGATCTAATTATACATGATGTACATAATTTCTGTTGCCTTCTGTTGAAATAATAACATTGCTAAGCTTTGATTCGCAAATAAATAAGCGAGCTCTTGCTATTTTTATACCTTTTACCAGAATGAAGGATTTAAAAGGAGATGGAGACTACATGTACTCATTCAACCCGTGCTTTCCGTTTAACGAGGGAACTTGTCTTAATGTAGCTGTATGTATTTTCGTTTAAAAAAGGTTTTTGAAATTTACTTACTTTGATTACAAATATTGTGGTCCACTCCATCTTATGATAACATTTGGTTGAAGAAACAGTTTAAATGTATACTGTCACAAATTCAGTTTGAAGTTCTGTGTATAATGATTTTAATTTAATATTTTGTAGGAAGTAAAGATGCTTCTTTGTTTGTATCATTATATATTATTGGGTATATAAACATGTATAAAAAAGACTATCGCAAACCTTTAAACATTAACCTCATCTACGAACTATAGACATAGACTGGCAAGAAATATATAACTTTTGAATACTTTTTCAGGGTTGTCAAACTAGCGATTTTGATTTGTTTTACGCGATTGGAGATGCCAGCAGCGGTCTTCTGACGTTTAACATTTCGTCTGGTTATTTAGTGGGTAGATATACCAGTACTGATGAGCTTGGAGATAGGTATTGGTTTTATTGTTTCTCACGTACACGTTTTGCTATATAGCCTAATGTGATGTGATATACCAGCACTGATGAGCTTGGAGCAAGGTATATGTTTTTATCACATACCCGTGCAGATTTTGCGACTCCGTCAAAATAAAAACGGCCGTGCTTATATTTTACGTGACTTTATTTGCGTAATACCAATAAAGTGTATGGACGTGCTAAATGTTAGCGTTACACTGTAGGCGCATCAATGAAAAATAATTCTTATTCACTTCAAACAGTCTTTATTTTGGATATGTGATAAATATAATATAATATTCATGCAAGTTCATTTCTGAATTAATTGAAATTGTTGAATTAAATAACATTTTGCTCGCAAGAGGCGCGTATAGCATTATTTTTTTAACTCGTTAATAAATTCTGTATTGAGCTTACACACGTATTAATTATTCCTCATGTACAGACTCAATCAAACCGAGTCATACGATATGCCATACAGAAGAGCTTGGAGTAACGTATATGTTTGATTATGCCTCACGTAAACTGTTTACTATATAACCGTCACATGGTGTTATTTCGATTTATTACATGCTTTTCGGTGGTTTATAGAAATATATCAGTTATATAAAACTGGTAATTTCACTGTTTGAAACAGTGAAATTACCATTTTGATAATTTCACTGTTTTGAATTTAAGCCCCTAACGTTGTTTCAGTGAAATACCAGCGTACACTGTACTGGGTACCAACTTAATGACGTGACGTCGTAAATGACGTCACGTTGTATTATTATTTGGCGCACTTTTCATTCAGTATTAGGTTTAATGTCTTTTTAAAACGTTTCTTTGCATGAAATAAAAAGAAAATTTGTTTAGTTTAGTGTAAGATCGAAATATTTTTCACCTTGTGAACACCAAAAGTTCATATTTCACTCGTGGCTGCGCCACTCGTGAAATATACCTTTTGGTGCTCACTCGGTGAAATATATTCCGATCTTACACTGAACTAAACAAATATCCTCTATCTATTATTCTGGAAATGAATATTAACCGGTCAATTATTCTTTGCAATATTTCCCAGTGACGAGTAATCCATATCGACGTACGAAAATGTTATGTTCTTGTTTTCTCCCCTGATAAAAAGGCGACGGTGAATGGAGTAATAATAGTGAAAAATGACATTAAAATGTTGGTTAGGTATAATAACTCATTCATTCTCTCTAAGGGTGTTTTTCAGTTCTCGGGTTGCTGATGTGCACTATCTTAACGTGTCTTCGAAATATCCTTAACATTTGAACCTCCTTGCCTCTAAAGAGACCAAAATATCACCGTTGTTGGTCTAAGTGAAAAAGAATTTAGTACATGTAGTAATTTATCAATATGCAATAAACATATTTATGTCAAAGCTTGTCAATTTGATTGAACTTGTCCATAAGAAATTGCAATAATTAGTAACAATATTCTTCAGCAGAACTTCATATGTCTCCTTCATATGTGACGCAACAGCAGAAACACCAAAGTTAGAGGCTTTTGGCGAAACATCACTACGCACTTATGTATGTCATTTTTAGCTCGACTTTTTTTTTTTTTTTTGAAAAAAAAAGTAGAGGTATTGTTATAGTCAGGTCGGCGTTGCCGTTGCCGTTGCCGTCCGAAAACTTGTACCTGGATCATAACTTTTTTATTTCTTGGTGTATTGTCTTCATACTTGGCCACAACAACCCTTGGGACAAGACCTTTCAGTAGACCACACTAACCTTGACCTTCATCCATAAATGACCTTGACCTTCAAGGTTAAAAGTCCAATTTTTGCTTGTTCATGCTGTTATTGGCTGTTACTTTGTTATTTTTGAATGGATTGTCTTCAAACTTGAACATAATAATCTTCAAGGATATCCCTTAAAAATAACCAGTCAGACCTTGACATTCACTCATCAATGACCTTGACTTTGAAGGTCAAATTATTGAAATTTTCATTTTTTTGGCTATTATTGGCTGTAACTTTGTTATTTTTGAATGGATTGTCTTCAAACTTGAACATAATAATCTTCAAAGATAACTGTTAAAAATATACTGAAAGACCTTGACCTTCACTCATTAATGACATTGCCTTTGAAGGTCAAATTATTGAAATTTTCATTGTTTTGGCAGTAACTGACTGTAACTTTGCTATTTTTGAAGGGATAAACTTCATATTATAACAGAACATTCTTAAGGACCAGACCTTGTTGTTTATCAAACCCAAATTTGCTTGGGCTCTTTAATGACCTTGACCTTGAAGGTTATATTACTGAATTTTCTCAGATTGTGCATTTATTGGTGTGTGTGTATGTATAGTATATGTATTATATATAAATATATATATAAATGTGTGTGTGTATATATATATATATATCAAATATATATATATATCAAATATATATATATATATATATATATATATATATATATATATATATACATATACATATATATACATGTATATAATTGCGTCATGTTTTTCTATTTTTAGAAATTGCGTCATTTTTTCTATTTTTAGAAATTGCGTCATTGTTGCTATTTTTAGAATTTGCGTCATTTTTTTCTATTTTTAGAAATTGCGTCATTGTTGCTATTTTTAGAAATTGCGTCATTTTTTTCTATTTTTAGAAATTTCGTCATTTTTGTTCTATTTTTAGAAATTGCGTCATTGTTTCTATTTTTAGAAATTGCGTCATTTTTTTCTATTTTTAGAAATTGCGTCATGTTTTTCTATTTTTAGAAATTGCGTCATTTTTTTCTATTTTTAGAAATTGCATCATGTTTTTCTATTTTTAGAAATTGTGTCATTTTTTTCTATTTTTAGAAATTGCGTCATGTTTTTCTATTTTTAGAAATTGCGTCATGTTTTTCTATTTTTAGAAATTGCGTCATTTTTTTCTATTTTTAGAAATTGCTTCATTTTTTTTCTATTTTTAGAATTTGCGTCATTTTTTCCTATTTTTAGAAATTGCGTCATTTTTTCCTATTTTTAGAAATTGTGTCATTGTTGCTATTTTTAGAAATTGCGTCATTTTTGTTCTATTTTTAGAAATTGCGTCATTGTTGCTATTTTTAGTAATTGCGTCATTTTTTTTATTTTTAGAAATTGCGTCATTGTTTTTATTTTTAGAAATTGCGTCATTTTTTTCTATTTTTAGAAATTGCGTCATTTTTTTCTATTTTTAGAAATTGCATCATGTTTTTCTATTTTTAGAAATTGTGTCATTTTTTTCTATTTTTAGAAATTGCGTCATGTTTTTCTATTTTTAGAAATTGCGTCATGTTTTTCTATTTTTAGAAATTGCGTCATTTTTTTCTATTTTTAGAAATTGCTTCATTTTTTTTCTATTTTTAGTATTTGCGTCATTTTTTCCTATTTTTAGAAATTGCGTCATTTTTTCCTATTTTTAGAAATTGTGTCATTGTTGCTATTTTTAGAAATTGCGTCATTTTTGTTCTATTTTTAGAAATTGCGTCATTGTTGCTATTTTTAGTAATTGCGTCATTTTTTTTATTTTTAGAAATTGCGTCATTGTTTTTATTTTTAGAAATTGCGTCATTTTTTTCTATTTTTAGAAATTGCTTCATTGTTTCTATTTTTAGAAATTGCGTCATTTTTTTCTATTTTTAGAAATTGCATCATTTTTTCTATTTTTAGAAATTGCGTCATTGTTGCTATTTTTAGAAATATGCTTAAAGTTTCTATTCTCAAGACAGACCAACTAAATTTATAAAAAGGAAACATCAATATATGTTCAAACCTTTCTATGTTTGCGTTTAGAAAAAGTAAAAAGTCGAGCGTTGCCCCCGCCCGGCGGTGGCTCTTGTTGTATCCAGAACTAACTATGCATATAACGACTGTTTGTGTATGAAAGTATTTCAAATATATTTCAATTGAATCCATATAACTCGTTTTCATCATGTTGGTGAACAATATTAAAAATATTGAAATAAATAAAGACGTAAAACAGGTAAATAAAATGTAATATGAAAATAGTTCATAAATAAACATGCATCTAATTATGTTTACGTAAATTTGTGTCTACTTGTTTCAGATTTTTATGTATACAGTATATATTTTGGAATTAATTTCAGACATTTGCAATTACATCAAAGCATGCCTGTGTAGTGCATAAACCTACACCTCCGAAACCAACTAAAAGGTATGTCCATCTATAAAATATTCAAAAGTTTTTTTTTAATAGTTTAAAAAAAGAATTCTCAAAAAAGCAGACTGTAAGGCTTTTTCATTATACCACATGTACAAACTCAATCAAACCGAGGCTGCAATTTTCGTGTTAATTTGATGTTTTTAATGCTTTCGAGGGATCACTGTTTTTTGGATATTTATTTATCACAACAGGTGTCATGTGCTGTATGGCAGCCGTAAAAAGTTGCCCCATACTTACCTTTATTGATGATATATCTTTCTGGTTATAAAAATATAACTGACATAAATTAATCAAGGCATATATGTATTCCACCAAGTTGTAGATAGGAATAAGAGTAAAAGAATTTATTGTATGATATATTACGTGCTTCTTAAGTATGCATACTTAAAACATTTTGTCAGGAATATTTCGGATTTTTATTCTTGCAGATTTATTTGAAAAGAATTTTAGTGCATATGAATCCTAATAATCAATGTGAAAATGCTTGTTTTGCAGCATTAGTAAAATATGTGTTTTCTTTAAAATGATTTTTTTCGAGTACGTGAATAAAAATGAATGATATGACATGGATTATGTACATGAAGATTGTTTCTGTTTTCTATGATATTATATGTTTAACAGCTGTCATACAAACTACGGAGATTTTATCAAAAGATGTGAAATTGAGTACGATGGTCATGAGGAACCCGTGAAAGTTTTATTCATCCGAAACTGGAATGGCATATGTAAATTCCCATCAAGCCAGGACATTGCTGTAACAATCTACTCGGAGAGTTCGACTTGTGCTGGCGTTGCCAATAGATGTCATCCTGCTCAGCAGTTCTCAGTCAATGGTGAATTTTGCAAGGAAATTTATTACTAAAACAGTTGAATTTTTCAAAGCATAATATATACAACTGAAAATAAGTTAAGCACACCCGGCATTTTTCCTCAATCTTGACATGACCACAACTGAAATTTTAAAATTTTATTTGGGCAATGGACCGAACAACCTATAATCAACCTGCAACAACTAGAACAAGCTCTGCACCAAGAATGATAAAAAAATATCTCGAAATCGCAATATACCCCTTATTGGTTGTATGAGAAGGGTTGAGGCTATCATCCGGGCAAGTGGCGTTTACACACATTATTGTTATTAAAACCTTGGCTTCATAATTACTTGTTAGGTTACATAACCGTCAACATTTATCAAATATATCAGCCAGTAAATATTCTGTAAACGCTCCAACACCATATGTATAAACACTTAGTTTACATTTTTTAAATATTAAATTTCCGGTGTATGCTTAACTTATTTCCAGGTGTATATATATGTAGGGAATAATAGTTGTAAAACATTGTTTATCAAAGATTTTATAATATGAATACATTTCGATTTGAATTTGAAACATTACAAATTAGCTAGTGTGTGTGTGTGTGTGTGTGTGTGTGTGTGTGTGTGTGTGTGTGTGTGTGTGTGTGTGTCCGTGTCTGTGTGTGTGTTTTTGTCGGTGGTGTTGTTGCTGTTTTTTCCTCTCTATATTGTTCTTTTCTTTTTGTTGTTGATGTATAATTTTGTCTTTGTTGTTGTTACTTTTTTAAAAAGGCACAAAACACATATACAATGTACCAGCACAGAACAGAAATTTTATTTCGTAATGTATACAATACAGTATCTTGTTACATTACACATGTCAAATATCATTAATAGATAAACATGTGATATAATTCAAAAATGTACAGTATATTGGAGAATGAACGTATATTGCTGCAGAAAAAAAAGATTTAAATAGAATTAATATATATCAGAATAATCTCATTTTAATACTGACATTACCAGCGAAATCTAAACGTACACAATATCTATGAAAAAAAAACATTTAAACATTTCATTTATGTATAACCGAAGTTTATCAACATACCCTTTCTTTTACTATTTGCAAAATACATAAATTTACATCAATTCAATAATACAGACTTTTAACATGACTGACGTAATTCAATAAATTTAAACGTACTAGGCTTTTTATAATAATATCGTTTAATGAATTTAGTGCGTCTTTTCTAGTACAGCATAAAATGAAATTCGTCTTCAATATCTTGCGTATTACAAAGTTAGCATATGCGCTCATGTCGTTCAAGTCTGTTTCTACCATACTATCAGATTCTATTCTTAAATTCTGCGCAATTATTCTGAGATGGTTAATTGTTGTCTTGATTTCATACACTTAATTTTATCTAAACAACATTCCAAAGAAAAATTTATCTTGATATGTCTATACAATGTATTTAAAACGTTATTATTAACAATATCTGAAAGCCATTTTTGTGTAAAAACATCAATGACTCTTTGTTTAAAAAATATTATCAATTATCGTTCAGGACAATTCAACATTTAATTTTATACGCCCAATACACCTTGTTTGCACTGATTTAATGTATTTATATAGACACATTTGATAATGATATTGGGGCGTCCGTGGCCGAGTGGTTAAGGTCGTTGACTTTAAGCCACTTGCCCCTCATCGCTCTGGGTTCGAATCCCAACAGGGACTTTAAATTCTTTCATTTGAGGAAGCTATCCAGCTAGCTTACGGAACGTCGGTGGTTCTACTCAGGTGCCCGTTCGTGTCTGAAATAATGCACGGAAGGGCATCTGAGGTCTTCCTCCATCAGTAAAGCTGGAACGTCGCGATATGACCTATACTGTGTCGATTTGACGTAAAACCCAAAGACAAACAAATAATTATATTATTTGAATGTATCACTTTAAACCAATATTTTATAATGTGAACATAATTATTAACATAAAGTGGATATCTTCCGAGTTCACAATAAATTCCTGCATTACAAGAGTTTATTTTCACACCAAGAATTAACTTGTAAAATTTCAAATGTAATCTCTCTATTATATCTTTAGATTTAGTAAATCCCAAGACTGGACACGCATAATTTATGACAGCACCGATAAAAGCATCAAATAATTGCGAGGAAACAGAAGGAGATATTTCATATTTATTACTACATTCGTTGCTTTCAGAGCTTTACCTATAAGATATTGGTTGTGGAGTACAAAGGATCGAGTGTAATTAAATACTATACCAAAATCAATAAAATCGTAAACAATTTCCAAAGCTTCATTGTTATAAAATCAACGTTCATGAGGAAGTACTGGTCCTCTATTCCAAAAAACAACTATTTCAGTGTTGGCTGTATTTACCTCTAATCCCGATAAATTACAGTATTTTTATAAAGAGTTTAATCTTTGCTTTATATCCTCTTGCAATTACAAATTATTACGACTTACAATATAACTATATACATGTGTCAAATATATTTATTCCACAAACGACAGAGTTTTGTAAGAAATATTGCTAGGTCTTCTAAATACCGTTCCGAATCTTTTTTGAGCAAGACTAAAGTTAACTAATGCAAATTTATTATATGAGTAAATTTTCCGAAACAAATGCCTAATGTTGTTCATCACTTGCTTCTCGCCGCTTTTGGTTTGGGTTGTTTTGCATCCAGGCAGGGATTTTGGATACTAGTACTTTCAGCTTCAGTTTCCCCTTTATGTAATTGACCAGGGTTTGAATTTGTTAAATACGGCTTTGTCCAAATTTGAATTACATTTAGATGATACATGTTTATCAATAGAAGGTTAGAACCACTATTTTGTAACAGTAAGTAATTGATTATTTAATGAATCTACTTTACATTTCCACGTATTCCTATGTGGTTAAGGATCCAACTAAGTTCGCTTGACTGAGATTTTAAGTTTCTAAAATTGAATATACAGAGTGTAATCTAGAACAAAATCAGTTTCTTAAGATTATGGCATGAACTATATGACAATGCCAAATCAAGATCTTTTGATTTAGCAGTAAAGACAGCTCGATAATCAGATGGTTTTATTTCATATGTAAAATGATTTTCAAAGACGTCTGACTGCACAAACTTTGTTATAATGCTTTGAGTCGTCCGTGTCAATATTTTTCTTTGATGTTTGAAAAGTTTTTGTTGAATATTCTGTGGGAGAATTACATGATTAATTTAAATTGATTTTATTTTTTATGCTTTTTTGAAAGTTGAAAGTCTAGAAATAACTTGCAAAGATTTTTGACATTTTGAAGAATATACACAAAACGTGGATCAAATTTAGTTTAAAAAGTTGGTAACAAGAGAAACGTATTACGCATGCACACCCGGGCACGCAAACCATTCTGCGCATGCACAGATACATCCACGTATAGGAAACGATTCTTCTTAAATCACTCAGAAACCATTAATCCTTGTGTTTTCCCTAATTATTTTACATAAAGAACTCGTATGGTTGAGAATGGAATTGCTTAACGTCCATCATTCTAGAAGTGTTGCACTGCGTTAAACTTCATTATATGCAAACAATACTTCTGCTGATAAATTATGACATAGAATTGGTATATATTTTAAGTTCCAAATATTGTGTTATATCGTTTTACGCCTTTAATCTTTACTTTTTTACATCTACATGTACACTTAATGAAACTTATAAGTACTCCGACCAATTTTTTATTATATTGTGTTAGAATTATTAAAATTAGTCTAAGTCGATACTGTATAAGCTTTAATCATAGTATCATCATTTTATAATAGTAAATGCATTTTACAATAACTCAAACTTAACAGAAAATCAGTATGTAAAAAAAATCAAATACATGTATTTTGAAAACCGGAGTTTTCCTGCAAAGTTGAAATCGGAGTACTTATAAGTTCGTTAAGTGTAGGTTAAAATTTTGTACGAACAAAACATATTTGCTTAGAATGAGAAATACTAGTAAATAACTGACACCAACAGTTAATATAACTGATACCTATTGTAAATATAACTGACACCAAAGTGAAATACAACTGACACCTAAAGTGCATATAACTGACACCCAAAAGGGTAGTTATTTAAACTGTTGTATGAATAAGAGCGCAAGAAAAGCTGTTAGCTGCGTATGTGGCTTCGTCCAATTTGTCACCGACGTCACAGTGATGTGTACATTTTACCGATACTTCGTTTCCTTTTTCAACCGTAGTAATTGCATCAATTGTATAACATTTCCACCATGTTTTTTTTCTCCTATACCTGTTTTTGAGATATGTGTACCATTCACGACGATTCCAACATAAACCCAGTTGTTGGCAGCCAAACAGACCTGTGCTGTAAACAGATATAATCCACTAACGGGTGCCACAAACAGTGTCTTTGTTATAAGCATCGCCAATGTTGAGAATGATATTTGAGTAGACAAACACCTTTTTGTATCCTAACGATTTATCTTTGGCCGTGTCTGCTTTGAATGCAATAATTGACGTCAATGCCAGTTCTGAAAGGGATTATAAGAGAAAAAACGTGTAGAACTCAATTTAACGCACATTGTGTTTCAAATATTTTGAAGTTTTTAATTGAAATTAATTTTGAGATAATCGGTAAGGGAACTTCGACTTTTGAATGGCAAGGTAAAATATTAGAAAAACCTAAAAAAGACACGACAGCCATGCTTGTTACGAAGAGGCCTATATATGGGGTGTGATGGAAATGAACACTAAAATCTAAATTAATGCGTTGATTCGTTATAAATCATTAAACGTATTAAAAAATATATATTCAATTTAAATTCAGTTCTTTGTCTTACAGTTTCCTATTGGTCATCATGGAGCCTATAAGAGCCAGTCAATTCATTTAATTTACATTTCATGTAGTGTCCTCCCTTGGTTTGGAAAACCGGCCGTGACCAGTTTTCTTACATGGTTTTTAATTTGTCTTTGTTTGTAAAAGACAACAACGAAATAGTGTTTGGACTAAATTTAAATATACTTTTAATTATTTAAAATATATTATGATTGCCTAGAGAAGATGTAAAAGCAAAACCTATCTAAAATAACCCATTAAGGGCCTCTATATTCGGGCATGCGCAGAACAGATTATTTCCCCCACATGACCATCTCATGGAATAACATTGTAAACAAAAAGGCATATAAGTAAATAAAGAACTGAATCAACAGTTATACCTGAGGATGGTTTTCTTGTTATATATTTCGAAATGGAAAGTGTGTTTGCGAGTCGGACCGGATGACATTTGAATCGAAACAAAAATAAAACACTATATTCGACAGAAATAGATTTTGTCCGATAAATTGATTGTCCGGTAAATATGTAGGATCCTATTAATGTCATGACGAATGAAACATTATTTAAGCATCATCTTACATATATATTCTAGTTCTGGTATTATGAAAACTTCATTTTGTAGTGTTTGGGCAAAACATAAATGCATAAATGTTTAAAATGAGATACAAATATAAGAAAACGACTAAATTTAAACGTCAGTTTATATATACATGTACTTTGTAGTATGACAGTTTTAAATAAAA